GAAACCTTCAAAAGGCGCCTAGCTTTTTGGGGAGAAAGACTAGGGAGTGTGGGATTTTTACCTCACTAAAACCACCCCGGTGGCCACCTTCATCACCTGTAAGGGGCTATTCCAGGTCCTTCCAGGTCTCTTGTAGAGGACCCGGTGGTCCTCTACTAGAGACCTGCTCCGGAGCCCCCACGATGAAACGCCTGTGACGGCACATCCCTCGAGTACGAGCCTCGCTGTGTACGGTGGTACGTGACCACTGTACCACCGTCTTCCCTGGGACCACTGAATCAGCACCTAGAGTCCCCCCTCTATGCACCCGTGACCCCAAAGGTCAAATCCCTATCAACCCACAAAAGGCTAGTAGCGCACTGGTAGTTTCTTTAGTGTTGTGAGATGGGCGACTTCATTGCTACCATCAGATGTTTTATCTGTTCATTAGCCGACCTATTTAAATTCTTTTAGCTTGGTTTTTGGTTGTGAATGCAAGCGTACATGTAGCGGCCCGAAACAGGAGAAGGAAGGAGGTGGGATTAGTCAGTAAGAGTCTGACACTCGCCTCCAAGGGCAAGAAAGGCATTTGGAGATTTTCCTTCCCAAAAAGGTTTATATTCTTTCAGAGATTTGAAAAAAATCATCAACCTATTTATAAAACATGACTACAAGGTTCAGGCACATAACATCGATGATACGCATCACAATCAATCAATACAAAAAATATTTTCCCTGCACACTAAATATTTTTAGTTCAAAACTATTTCCAATGACCTACATGAGTGAATGTTCAGCCTAGGTGCTGTACATACTAGGTAACTGTTTTAAATTTTGTACAAAAGAATAGTGTATTGATCACAGTTAGAACGAGACTGCGTTTAAATCGATTCTGTCGAGCCATTACTCATACATAATAGTAAAAAACCCTTTGTGTTGGTTAGTCATATTATTACAGATAATTATATTGTTAGTAGACCTCATAAATTTCCGGGGTTGCAGGTGCATGTACCGCGAAAACCCGGAGCAGAAGACGGACGAAGTGGTTTCTAGTCAGTAAGGATACACTTGTCTCGCACCACAGGGCTCCTCAAAGAAATGGATTACTTAATTTTTTATTTGTTAAAAACGCACACGAAGTTTTTTTGTCACATATGCACATACACTAAATCCATTTTATTCAAATGTTCATTAATGGTTGAAGTCCATTCATGATAAAATCCCGATTTTTTTTTATTTTAACGATGGCATCACGCAGGTAGGATACCCAAAATAAAAAAAGGTCACACACTTGTGCGTAGACTATAGTTGATATCAAATTAAACTTACACCCAGTAAGTTTAATTTGATATTGCTGTATGAAATAACTTGTGTAATTCATAATTTAGTTATTATTTTGTGATGTGTTTTTCAAACGCTCTTACGACAGAGGAGATCTGTCTATAAACGTTTCAAAAATAGAATTGAAAGAAAAAAGTAGCACAACCAGTTCTAAATTGTAACAAAAAAATATAACTTCCAGAAGCTTCGAAAACAACAGCTGTTTTAGCAAATATGTACATTGAGATAACAGGTGTACCTAAGTAAATGAACACTAAAACCTTATAATTGTCATAAACGTAGTAATTGTGACGCATAAATATTTTCTTATTTGAATAAAACTCGACATTGTTATCGTTTTCATTTTTTTATTCAGACTTGATTTAAAACATAACAGATCATTTTTATTTTAAATACGTTATTTATTTACATTCTATTTTTATTGGTGCATATCCAATTTATGTTAGTACAAAGCAATGTTATTTTTGATACAGTGGAATATCAGTTTTCCTGGTTTTATAAAAACAGTATACTTTTTTGTACCTATTGTGTGTGTATTTATTTTGAGTCTTTTAGGTCCAAAATGTCATAGGGACCATTTTATCATTTTTTTAGCTTGGTATTTTTATGAGACGTTAATGAGATAATACGTTTTGTGTCGGGCAAGCGGGCTTACAAAAAATGGTTGCATTTAATAAGAATGTAACTATTTAATAATATTTTAAATTCAAAAGGTTTTTAAGTATGGATGGATGTTGTTAGTCTTTTACGTAAAACTATTGAATGTTATAAGGCACAGATATAGATTAGTCTGGAATAATACATTGAATAGTTTTTTAGCAATAACGCGGTGGCAGACGCTGGTGGAAAATAGTCAAACATACAAAGAAAACTAATTTTTAATAGTAACTTTCATGACACACTCAATTTACTTAAAACTAGTAGAGCTGTTCTAAGTTAATTCTCGTGATTAAGTATTTTTTTTTTTTTTATGTAATATGTCGGCAAACGAGCATACGGTAATCCGTAGGGCGGCGCTGGTTGCTTACCATAAGGTAATCCTTATGGTAAGCAACCAGCGCCGCCCTTGGACACCCGCAACAACGGAGGAGTTACGAGTGCGTTGCCGCCCTTTTAGGAATTAGGTATTTGGAGATTTAGGGATTAAGGAGGGATTGGGCCTCCGGTAACTCACTCACACGGCGAAACAACGCTATGGTTATTTCACGCCGGTTATCTGTGATTTTCAATATATATAAAGAAATGTCTTCCGTATAAAAGCTAATGTCGTGGTGGCCTGGAGGTTAAGGAGCCCGCTTCTCATGCATGAGGGTGTGGGTTCGAAACCTGGCAAGTACCAATGTGACTTTTTCCGAGTTATATGTACTTTCTATGATTATTTAGACACCACTGACATACGGTGAAGGTAAACATCGTGAGGAAACCTGGACTTATAATTCCTAATTATAAGTTTGAAATCGCCAACCCGCATTGAGCAAGCGTGGTGATTAATGCTCTAACCTTCTCCGTGTGAGAAGAGGCCTTTGCTCAGCAGTGGGCACTTATAGGCTGATGATGATGATAAAAGCTTACTCGTTTTTAGAATCTCTCATTAAATTACAAATGAATTACACCATCCACTTAATTGAAATTACTATAGTAACACGTTCTTGTATGCAGATTGAATAAGATAACGCATTCCCAGGATTTTCATTGTTTTAATATTAAAACATGATGGTGGATCCGCCTGCCATTATCGTTGTTATTTTGTAAATCCTTTGAACCGACGTTGCGACCTGTAATCACGATTTTGGATCAGCGATGATGAGTGATGACCGTGTGTGCGCTACCAAGGTCATGGTGCGAAACAATATTGTAATTAATTCACTTTTAACTAGATTGCGACTGCGGTTTTGGTTGTTTTTGTAGATTTTTTATGTGATAGGACGGTAAACAAGTCATATGGGTAAGTGTGGGGGAGCCATGCTTCGGCACGAATGGGTCTGCTCGACCGGAGTGATACCACGGCCTCACATAAAACCAGCGGGAAGCAACTACAGCGTTGTGTATTGCCGTGTGAGTGAGTTTACCGGAGGCCCAATCCTTTCCCTAACCCAATTCCTCCCTAATCTCTAAATCTTGAAATCCCTTATTTCCAAAAGTTCGGCAACGCACTCGTAACTCTTCCGTTGTTGCGGGTGTCCAAGGGCGGCGCTGGTTGCTTACCATCAGTTGTTACGCTTTCAGAAGTCGTTTTGAACAAGTAGTGCTGGTTACTCCTAGAAACCGCTATTGATTATCCAATTCAATGTTTCGTTCTTTGTTGATAAATAAATGTGTATAGCAGTAGCGAATAATTTTGAACATTATTTATGTATTTAGAAACTTAAAAGTACCATTACAGTTTTCCAATGATATAGTTTGGTAAACTTAATTATAACCAATCTGAATAAAATACGTATTTCGATTAATATAATATTATATGAGTAGTAATAGTTACAGACAGACATTCATATTTTTTGTTTCAGATTGTAATCTGCGTGATGCGCGTGCGCTGGTTGACGCGCAATGGCGGACGGTCGCCATGTTGGATACCGAGCCGACGCCGACGCCATGCCATTGTACGTAGCTTCCGGAAAAGCGCACTCTTTGGGGTCACTGAATGTACGCTTATTAAAATGTTAAGTTTAATGAGATCTCATAACAAACATACATATCCAATCTTTGTACAAATAACCATTTTGCTACGAATTACTACAAAATTACAACATCTTGCTACGAGTCTACGATAATTTTCACCAACATCAACGAAGACTTTACTATGGTAAAGTGCATATTATTATGTTCTTTTGAAGTTAGCTATTTTATTTAGGCTAAGAACTCACGGAGCGATTTTCGCCCGCGTCCGCTGCGGTTGCGGGCCCGCACCTTCTGTAGGATTCAAATATTTATATAAAAAATTAAAGCACATTTCACGACGCGTTTTACGCCCGCGGTGTATGCGGTTGTATGCGGCTCCCGCTGTGCCGGCGGGCAACTTGTAGAATCGCGCGGGCCGCGGTTACCCGCAGCCTCGGCGGGTGGCACCCGCGCGCTTTGCGATCGGTTGGCGAGCGACCGCGGGGGCCGGCGGGTCTTCCGTGAAGTAAATATAACGCAACGGCTCGTTTCTGGTGTGTGTCCATGGCGGTCTGGACCTTAACTGATCGTTAACCGCCCGTCTTGCAATCTTGCGATCATCGCCCGCCACGTTTGCGGGCGATGATCGCAACCGCGGCGGCTGTGTAACCGCGCAAATAACCGGTCTCGTGAGTTTGGAAATAAAACCGCAGTTCCGCTACCGCGGCGGGCACGGTTCAAAATCGCTCCGTGAGTTCTTAGCCTTAGTAATCCTTTAGAGAGTTTGTGCAAATGGTATGCAATATCGGTGACTAGACATAGATATTCGTGTTTAGCCTAAGTTATAATGACCACACAGGTCGCTCGCACTGAATTTGTTAGTGTAACAATGGTCCACGCATGCCCACAAAGTATAATGATCCTCGTTCGGCTACAAGCACCACAAAATACGGATCTTTATGGAAAATTAGCGATGCGTAGCGATGGTGTGATTCGCTCACATCGATGCTCTCCCATTGTCGTCCCCCCCTTAATGTGATTTAACTGAATTATGAAGTAGAAATGTCCACAATTTGGTTTTGGCTGTCCAGTGGTTAGCCCGTGTTGTGATCCCGGTGTGTTGGGGGCACTTAACGACCGTGTGTAGCGTGATTGCTTGGACTTTGTGCGACAGAAGTGCTACGAGAACCTGCTACGTCTCGTAGAGGCCGCCTTCACGGAAAAGCTCAAGTAAGTTACCTTTTCGCCGTAGCATATTCTCGCGTAGTTCGTAGACAGTTTCAAGTGTAGCGTAGCATAGTACTCTGGGTATGTATTATGAATTGTGTGTAAGTTATTGTTACTTTGATGAAACAAAACGTACTTTTTATACTTATTAGTTTACCATAGATTTTTTTTAACAAATTAAGGTAATATGAATCAAAATTTTACAGTACATATTTTTCTAAATAGGAAATAAGTTTATTTTTGTATCGGACCTGATATATAGCCTTATATAAATTAGGGGACAAAGCAATGATGTATTGTACCATATACATTTCCCATAGAACAAAACAATAAAAACGCGTAGATACCTATATTAATTTGGGTAAATATTTCGAAAATCAAACATGATACAAAAAAAAAAAAAAAAATCAATTATCATCCAAATATTTTAGTGCAACGTATCGTAACAAAACACGGGCGGTTAGGGCGGCGCCGGCGCAGCGTTGTGTGACCGTATTATGCAACTTCGTGTGTGTCCAGCACGTGCACACAAACGGACACTCATTTTAAATTTATAAAACTTTTACCTAGTACCTCTATCAATTATTTTGTTTTTACGCATAGCAACACTAAGTGGTGTTTGTATTCAGAGAAATTATTAATTGTGAAATATGTATATTGTCTGTTAATATGCTTTTATTGTACTCTTAATTTTGTATATTTAGCTCACTTCAACAGCAGCTTTGTCCGAGTCACTCGAATAATGCTATGTGCGTGCTATTCTAGACTCAACTATATTTCTCTTATTTTGGATCGTGCGTGTCACAGAATTTGGCGTGATTAGTAAGTTACAGAAATGTCCCTCTGAGTTGTCCCTTTATCAGTATTATATTTACTATATTTTTGATAGTACCCATAGAAACATTTATCCTTTTATTGCGAAATTTCTCATATCTAAATCTTTACCAACACATAAATGGACTTCGTCTTCGTATTTCGTATCTCTATGGACTTTGTCCAAAGAGCGTATGGACTAGATCTGTTATAATTTCTTTCTTATGATTCATATAAGTAATTAAGCAGAGGTGATAATAATTTTTTTCTTATAAAAAGTGCATTCAAAGATAAATTTCGGTTCATAAAAGTACTTTACTACTGCCTAATATATACTTAACTACTAATTATACATATGTATAATTAGAGTAAGTGCTGGTTGTAAGTGCTAGCCACCAAGTAAGGAGTATCGTATCAAATTCCTTCATTAGATCATACATTTTATGACAGTTCTTTTTTGAAATTTGTCTTTCGTGTCATGGAGTCTGGAATAGGTTCTGCCTCTATTACATAGGGCATTTTGTAAGAGACAAAAAGTTAAACATTAATACTTTGAAGTTACTTTCTGTTAACACTGAATCAAATTGTGTATTAAGGGGTTCCAAAACTCCTTTGTCATTTTTTCCTGATAACCTACATTACAACAAAGTTTCCTTTACAGTTATTCGAATATTCCGATATCTCAGTTGTAAATAATAATCGGATATTCCACGTTATCACTCTAAAAATACAAATAGTAAAAGGTTACTGGTGTATTGTGGGTGATATCAGGCCATAATACGAATGACACTCGCGTGATCACTATTCAAGTGGGGATTAATATGTTTAAAGATGGTTAGATAAAGAATTTACTATCGAACAGGTCGAAAAGAGCACACATTTACCTCTGCGTACCTACAATTAGCATAGTTAGGTACATGCAATTATTTATAAATTTAAAACGAAAATCAATGTTAATAATAAAACTCTTCTGTTACTAAGTGAGTGACACTAGGCAACGCAAATCTAAAATCACTAGACCAAAGAGGTTGAGACATGTATGTTCCTTGGGTTTATTTTTTTTACCTGAATGTAAGCGGCGTCAACCGATTGACGAATCGTTGCACCACTAGAGTTGCAACAGCGTTTTTGGCCTTTTTGGACATCGGTAGACTAAATCCTCATTTTTGCTGCTTTAAGAAATATGTTCGGTTGTTTCTATGGTCAATGTTTGACTTCTATCTTCCTTGTTTAGAAGATAAGCAACCTGTTAACTCGCACCTTGTTCAAGTTGTTCCCTCAGGGGAAAACATTCACTGGCAAAGAACTCCATTCGTTAGCGGTGCCGATAAAAAACCTTAAAAGGTGTTTCGTGTCTGTGGGCGAGATATCTACTATGAAGAGATGATAGTTTGCCGATTGCCGGATGGTACGACGGTGGGAAAAAATCGAGGGAATTATTTTTTATAATAGTCATAGCTGTCTTTAATAGGCAATCATATGAGATGTTTCTCAGTCCTACCTTACAGTCCTCTGTGTAATCAATTGATCACGTATGAATATTTATTTATCAATGAATTATACCTAACAATCACATGATTGTTCTGCACAAGTATAATTTGAAATAATATTGATTTTTCTTTTATAAACATTTCAAGCTATCATTTCCTCAAATGTGTAGGTATGTAAGTACTTCACCCATATTCATAAACAAATGAAAATCGTACTAAGGATAGAATGCTGAATTAGTTGTGGCAGGATGACATCTAATGTGGAAGAAATAAGGATGAATTTAATTTGGCTACAAGTAATAATTGGAGTAGGAAAGAAATAACTATTACTGCACGTAATTACTGTGTGCTTGTCTCTTCTTTCTTATCGTGAAAAATAAACGTGTTTCATTCTTTTATCTTTAAATGACTCGTAGGTGGAAATAATCTATATTCATAGCATTACAGTTGATTGGCTAGACAGATTCTCATACTTAATTTACATAAAATACTTTTTAAAGCTGTGTTTGTTATTAACTTTATAAAAGATTTGGAAGAATAGAAAGAGAAAATTTGGAATAAGACCTTTATGATTTGACGTGTAAAACTGCCGTCTTGTGCCATATATGCAGAAAAAAGATACCATGACGGTCCGCTAACAAAAAAACAAATGACAGTTTGATCCCCATACTACCCATCTACGGTTACGTAGATCTTTATAAACATACCCGAAAACCTATATTTGAATTAAAATCTGTAGGTAAAACCTCATATTTAAAATAAACTCTTCAATATTTACAATTCGAGACATTGATTGGCCAATCTTTCCTCTAAGCCTACTCAAACCGGCTAGATTGGCATGTTGTAGCTACTTCGACATGAAGGCATAACACGTTAAATCTATACATATATATTAAAAAACAAGATTTAGACGTTATCTATATTGTTTTTTATGTATCCTTGTCGTTGTTCATATTTCAATGTTATTGCTGTTCAAATAAACAATGCGCCTTAAATAACGTCAATGGCTTTACTAGCCTGGTGATTTCTTTTTATAATTTGTTTACAATCTGCTTGTCCCGACCTGATAGAAAACACAATTTTAATTTTTTTCTGAGAGCATGATACACAATTTTTTTATTAGAGACTTGCCTCTCTCGCGCTGTTTCACTCGCTGTTTGAGTCTCTTTGATAGTAGCCTATAGAACTCAGGAACATTGTACCATCTATCAGTGAAAGAAATTTGAAATACCGACCAGCTGTTCCAAAGATTACCTCCTATATACAAACTCAAAAATTACAAATTTTACCCCTTTATAAAATTAGTATAGAAGAAATAAGTTTGTATACAGTATACCTACATATACATTTTATATACTTCACATGGCTAGCTATGGCTACATTTATCGTAGTACTAAAAGCATTGAATGGGCATTTTCCCCAATTAAGTCAATGTATCCTATAGCTTACATGTGTTACGTACGTTGTATTCGCTCAGCTTACTACCAAGGTGTGGTGGCACGCGTCAGGCAAATATGGCGTCGGTACTTAGTTATAAATACGCCATAAGTACTAAGCCAGACTTCTAGACTGTTCGCGAGGTCAATAACTCTATAAGGATAACTACCTTCCATTTCCAACGTCGATACTGGTTAGGTTCAGAATTCTAGAAATTGAAGAGAAATTCTTTGTAATTTGTATATTATATGTGTATATTATGTGTTTTAAAAACAATAACCACAGTTATTTATTTATTTATTAAGCTTTATGCACACAAGCATGCAGAAATGGGTAAAAACGGTTATTCATTTAAGGCTCTTAATGCCAGCCGTCTATCTTCAGTACCTTGTATAATTTACTGGCTAATGGGCTATTGGAAATAGTAGTGAAGTTTTATGACTAATCCCTATGCAAATAAAGTTATATTTGCTTGGGCATAAAACAAATATCGGTGGCTAAAAGTATGACCTGCAGTGTTTGTCTCTGCGACTTAGGTTCTAGAGAAATGCATACTTAAAACACAAAAAAACGATTTTTGTTAGAAGATACGCTAAAGTATCAAGACTGAACTATGAACTAATAAAAAAAATATTATTAAAAAGACAAAATACCCGACTGCACACTAAAAAAAGAGTAAAACAAGCCCCACAATACAAATTTACTGAATATAATTTATAAATGTTGATGGAAAGCATCGCAGGCGGGGACCAACTGAGGCTTATTTATAGTCATTTCTGTTGTGCACCATTTAGCAGAATTTTCGTTGGTGGCGGTCAAGGTGGTCCCCGCCTGCGATGCTTTCCATCAACATTTATAAATTATATTCAGTAAATTTGTATTGTGGGGCTTGTTTTACTCTTTTTTTAGTGTGCAGTCGGGTATTTTGTTTTTTTAATAATATTTTTTTTATTTATACCTTTTTGCTGTTTTTATTTAACGTTACTCCCGTGATTGAAATGAATCTAATGATACCGCATACATATTTTTTTAAAGGGAAATTTAGAAAAATATTATTATGTCTTTATCCCGTGGGACTTTTAGGATAAAATGTATCCTATGACACTCCCGTAATCAAGACAAATCTAACGATACCTCATACATCAAAATCCATCAAGCCGTTTAGGCTACAGGAGGTCACAAAGGAAAAGACATACATACATACTTACATACACTCGAAAAACATTACCCTCCTTCTTTGGCAGTCGGGTAAAAACGTGTTTT